CACATTCGCTTTTATTATGACTGTGGTTTTTATTGGTAGTGCTGCGAGGCCCCAGCTGAGATCCGGGCCCCACAAGGCAGCAGGCAGACGTGTCATGGGGACGGTAATAGCCCCTGCCCCAAAAGAGAAGTATCATCTCCATGGTTGTGTGCCAGCTGCACAGCTTCTCATGACCCTCCTACATGCTCCTGTCCCACAAAGGTCTTCCTATGTCAGCGATACATCTGAATTATTTGTAGAGATGGCCCCGTCCCACCCTGAGCAAGGGTGCTGTCTGTCACCAGTAGCCAGGGAAATAAATAACTGTATTATGCCGCTTTGTGCTACCTGTACACGATGGTGTCTTTGTGGCTCCCAGACCTGGGAATGTCTCTTTGTTTTGGAGCTATTTAATGGGCGTATTCGTTGCGTCAGATGTAGTTAAGGTTGTTCCTGTGTCCTCTGGCCCAGCATTTCCTTGTTATCTGTCAGGATACTTCTGTGACACCCGTGGAGCATTTCTGTGTCTCATGTCGAAGGCTTGCGCTGAACATGGGCTGTGTGCGCTCCCTCGGCAGCCCCTCGGGAGGAGAGATGTTTCCTGTCACACGTGCAAGGCCAGTCCCGATCACGCTGACAGCAACTGTGCGTTCTTCTGAGGGACACAGTGACCGAGGCCGTGGTTCACCTCTCAAGCTGTTTGTTAAGATCCTTCTGCTTAAAGAGAGAGGTGTCCCTGTGTCACAGTACCACAGAGTTTCCCTCGCCAGTAAAAAGGGGACGGGGAAAGGTGATGATGCTTCCTGCTGGCACAGCTAGTGCAGTTACCTATGCGGCATTCCCAGCCTCATCCGGCAGCTGAAGCCTCGCTTCGCCACCACACCCCTTCCAAGAGCTGTTCTCTTGGCAAATCCCCATCCCTTAAGCTTTTACTCCTAGCGCTGTTCTCCATCAGTTGAAGTGGCCGTTGCCCGCCACAGTGCCGTTCCTCATGGGATCTGCTAGTCTTCCCCAAATCAAATTTTCCCCAGGAGCCCTCCCTTCGCTTTCACCCACAGCCCTTTGATGGACCCCATCTCTTCCCCAGAGCCCTCTCTGCTCCTTACTGCCACATTTGCTCATCCCCATGCAATTGGCAGCTCCCATACTTCGTGTGTTACAGTATTTGAGGCTTCTCTTGATAGTCCAGCTCACAGAGTCATACGCTTAGATGAGAATTGCAACTTTGATCTAAAACCAGAGATAAATGTCTGTCCCTTGCAGTTTCAGGGAAAAAATGAAAATGCATCCTCTATAGGTTTTGACACGAGAAAACAAACACAGGGGATTTACAGTCCTTTGGTTTTGAAGAAAATATAATGATCCATGACTGTGAATGTCTCGGTGTTAGCAACGCAAGACATATAAATCTGTCCTTCAGGATGATCTCTGTGAAACTTTCTCTGCTTCATAAGTAAAATCCATATGCACAACTGATATTATTGCTCTGTGAAGTTTGGGATTAGTGTGCCCTACCATTATTAAGTCCAATACTACCACAAGCTGTTTAGACAAGGTCCACCTCAAGGTAGCCTACAGGCCTCTGTCGAAAGTTCTGTTGTAGATTTTAAAGCCTAGGTCATGGTAGAGCGTCCCACCCCCACATCCAGAACTCCCACATAAACTAAAGCATTGCCTCTCTCTTTACAACTTTTCCACCTCTCCCTATCTATTTGCTTGCTTTGGTCATTCCAATTTCTTCCCTTTCTCCTCCCTCCATCCTTTTCTTTCATTTCCCACTGACTATACGGGTCCTTTCTTATCAGCTGGTCCTGAGTTTCCCAAATACAGATACGCCCTTACGTGCACACACACACACGCTGACACAAATAAATAAATAAATAAAAAGGTCAGTGAGCAGAGCAGCAATAACCCCTAAAACAGTACTATCAGAGGGACATGATTGATCAATTGAATTCCATAGCGGCTGAAAAATGTGGGATTAAGTAGTGTATTATACGCACAATGAGTTGAGGCATGATGTTCATTTCAAGTTCATTTCGCCAGCCCTCTGCCACCAGATCAGGCAATCAATAGGGGCAGCAGATATCATATATCACCTCTCTCCGTGCTAGGGAGAGAGCACCATAATCTCTCGCAAATTTAGAGTGACAGATTTGTCAAGATCTGAAGGGCCCCTGAATAAATGAAGGAAAAGAGACTCCTACAGCGACTTGGGAAAGCTGTGGTTTCAGCTCCTTCACACAAAGGCATGGACCGCGCACACGCGGGGGACACGCGTGCACAGGGCTCTGCAGGCAGGCAGGAACTGCAAATACGAGTGCGTGCGTGCACGAATCTGTGTAACCACCCAGGGCAACCCGCTAAGGGAAAAATCCGGTTTAATGACAATCAATGGAAGTTTTACCGTATACATGAAGCCCTGTCCACTCACACCAACCTCCACTCATAGTGTAGGGCTGCCACCCTTGAAAATCAGATATAGCCTAAACCAGCCGCTGCAGACAGACAGCTGCTCAGGCATGTAGAGTGATGCAGAATCTAGAGAATACCAGAATAATGATCTACTGCAAAAATACCCACGTGTACTAGCATCATGGTGTGCACGTGCACACTGACTGACACATGTGGAAAAATCCTCAAAGGCAAACAGCTTCACGGGCTGCAGACAGGTTGAGACAAGTGCTGATACAGAAACACGCTTTTTTTTTTTCCTCAAGCCTGGACCCATGAGTTCTGTGCCAGCTTTCTGCAGGGAGGATCAGACAGAAGTGCTTACTAGAACTGGGAGCATAAGCCTCGAGCTACCCTAGTCCTCCTGAAAGCCAGCCCCTCCAGTAACAGCCCAGTCCCTCTAAAACACAGACAGTGTGCAGTCCACCAAGCCTGGTCTTTGCTTTGTTTGCTCTTAGTGAAATCTGCCATGAACTCCAGCTTTCAGGAATTTGAGAATTTTCCCTTGTGTGAAAAAGCCCAAAGAAAGGAGAAAATGCCAGGCATCAGTGCCCGTAAATAGCCCTGCTCTGGCTAGGGGTGGAAAAGAAAGAAGGGGCTGCTCGAGGGAAGGCTGCTGGCTGGGACAAATCAATATGTAATATTTTCTATGGTCTTGAGAGTGGTACGGTACTACGTTACTGTATATAATGTACTATTGATTATATCATATCGTATAATCACCTATAAACGGATATATCTCATAGCCAGAAGGCAGCAGGCTCAGTTATAACTCTAGGCCACCAGTTGGGCATTAACTGTGCCAGAAAAATACCCATCTTGGCACCATCCACAAGCTAAAAGATGAAGTGGCAGAGTGGCACGGTTCAGGCCGTCGCACAGTGAATGCCACTCCAGGCTCCCGGGAGCATCGCCTGCCCATGAGCACAGTTGCAATCACATGGAGGAGGGAAAAGCTCTGTATAGATCCCTCAATCACTGTCTTGACAGACAGCAAATTTCTGAGATTCACAGGCTGGAAGCCACCAAGGAAGGCTGAAGTATGAGGAATAATAGTGAAAAAGCAGGAAGGTAATCACAGGGTGAGAGGGACAACCTGATCTTAGGTTAGACAGGGTGATAAGACAGTCAGACTTGTGTCTGATGAAGCACAGTAGGTAGAGATTCAGCATGGAGGGTATGAAGGTATATCAGCATGGATGAGACAGGGGATTATAACGAGTCTCACCAAAGTTAGGCTGAGAGGTGACAGCAAAGATACTCAGCACAGTTGGAGAAGATGATAATGAGCAGACTTGCCTCAGATGAGATGAGGGATTATGACAAAGGAAGATTCACTTCAGCTGGGACAGGAGGTTATAACAGACAGACTCACCTTGGATGTGACAGATGCTAATAGCAGGAGACTCACTCACTTCAGATAAAAAGGGGTTATAACCGAGATAAATGCACCTCATTTGAGTTGGGGGATAACAGGGGAAAAAAAAAAACCAACGCCAAACCAAAACCAGGTGGGTGATAAGATGGTTTATCACAAGGAGAGATTCACTTTGGATGGGGCAGGCATTTATAATGGACTCACCTTGGAGGGGGTGGGTGTTCTGTGAGAGACGTGGATGGCACAGCAAAGATAGGGACACCTGGAATGTAGCAGGAGGCACTGCGGTGAGATTGGACTGTGTTAGAGGGCTGTTGGGGGACAGAGATGCACTCTGGACATGCTGCTATGAGAAAAAGGGTGTTCTTCTAGTAAGAACAAAGGATTACCAGGAAGGCCGATTCCCACTGCGTAGGACTAGGTTTTGTAATGCAATAATTCATTATGGATAGGAAGGGGGACTGACTCAGATAAAGGTTTATCTCATTTTGGAGGGAGTTTTATAACAGATATGGGTTGTGATAAATCATGAGCTACATGTAGGGGAATGGGACGGAGATCATAACAGGAACCAACACATGTTGGGTGGGACAGATGCTCCACAGGGAGAGACTTGTCTCTGGTGAAACACTGAGTCAGAAACAGGATTGTTTCTGTTATATGAGGGGGATGATAGGACAAGATCAGATGAGGAGGAAATCCTAACAGAGATACAACTGACTCCCTTCCAAGCTATAAGAGAGCCCTTTCTCCATTCCAGGCTTTCTCAGCCCTCTCCATTCCAGGTCCATCCTCAGCACTCTTGTTTCTCTGTGAGCTGCTCCTCCAGTAGCCCTCTAGCGATGCTAATCGCTGTGCTTTGCTCCCATTTTATGCTCAGCAATGGAGATTTGGCAATTTTTAACACTGAAAATCAGCGGAACCGAAACTCATCTCTGAGCCGAGCACCATTCTCCACAGCCTCACTCACCCTGGGCAGGAGAGTCCCACGGAGACGGCGGGAGCAGCCCGGCTGCTCCAGCAGACAGGAGGGGGCTTCCCATGGGTCCCTGCAGCCTCCCCATCCTACAGGAGTGGCACAGCTCCCTGGGTGGAGGCAGAGGGCCCCGCTCTGTCCTTGTCCCGCATCCCTCACTGATCCGAGCCAGGGTGGTGCTAACTCCCTGTTTTCTCTGTCTGTGCCCTGCAGATGTATCCGAGGGCTCAGTTCCCAATGGAGATTCCCAGAGCAGCGTGGACAGTTTGCGGAAGCACCTTCGTGGCGACACTTTCACCCAGCAGCAGCTGGAAGCTTTAGATCGAGTTTTTGAGCGTCCTTCTTACCCTGACGTCTTTCAAACATCAGAGCACATCAAATCTGAGCAGGTGAGGGCCCAGCCTGGTAATGGGGAAGCACAGGCGCCCATAGGATGATGGCAGGGAGATTCCCTCTACCAAAATCACTCTCCCCCTCTTCACCCTTTGTTCCCACACTGACCCATTATTGCACATACATTGCATTTACATTTTACAACCTCTTTCTAGCTGTAAATATATCACTATGCTGATGCACATGTATACACAAGCTCTACCTCCTCTTGTGAACTGTACTCTCCCTAAATCCCCGTGTCTGCCTTACCCTCTGTATGCACACCCACAGGCATGCGGGCATGTTCGTGCCCTGGATGCGCAAACGCTGCCATGCACGTTCACTGAGGCACAGCACCGCACAGAAACTCCTGCACCCTCGGATCTCAGCAGTGACCAGCGAGCCACAGGCTCGGGCTTTAACGGAGCATTTTCCTTCACGGCCCAAAGCTGAGGCTTGACTCCCATCTCCAACCTAGTTTTCCACACTTCTGCAGCTCTGCCCCCACTTTCCCTTACTCCCCCGCTCCCCCGGCCTTTTATCCCAAAAGCTGTTTGTCTTAATAAAATGAAAATCAAAAGTCTTTTTAAACCGCCCCAAGCCATAAACCAACAAAGGAAGAGAAGGAGAGGCTGGCTGTGGACTCCCTTCATCCCAGAGTCCCTGGGTTTATTACAATGAATAACCTTTATTTACTTTCATTAGACTATTAAGCACCAGCACAGTCATTTTTCCCCCTGAAACTCTGAGCAGGGCCCATAAAGCAAATCCGAAGCCTAATTGAGTTCATTTTAATTTCTCTCCGATCACAGCGAATTACTCTGGTGATAAATCAGGGGGCAGGCTCACCCCCAGTAGAAGGCCTAATTTGCAGCTAATTACAAAACTGATTTCTACAGGAAGATCAATACGAGAAGGAATTGGAAATGACTAGGCAGTCCTAGCCAAGCAGGGATGGGGCGGGGAGGGGGCAGCGTGCGGGGAGCCCGCTGGAGGAGGGGGAGACGTGGGGAGGGGGTTGGGGAAGCGCATGGAAAAAAACGGAGCAGAAAGAGCAGAAAATCAGTTTTAATTTAACGTAATATTAATCAGAGCAACTTTTCCTGCTGTTTTGTAGCCTTCCCGGTTTCTCCAGCTCCCGCGTCTGGTCCGGAGGCTGCCACAATAAAAAGGCAATTACCAGAGCCTTTCGGACAGGACACCCTTTCAGATTCAATGGCTCTCCCCCTCCCACCCTTCTGTTAGCCATGTGGCTCCCCCCTCCCCAATTTCATACCCCAATGCACAGAGTGACAGAGGCAGGGGCTGAGGTTTCTTTGTTTGTTTTTAAAGAGCTAGGACAGAGGTAACAGCAGAGGGGAGGCAGACGACCCAGCGAACCCCCCCCCCTGCCCCAGCCATGTCATTGCAGTCCCCTGCCCCAGCTGTCCTTGTCACCAGGGCAAACCCCCCCCGCACTGCTCAGCCAAGCAGAGGGGATGTGGGTTTCCCCTCCCTTCTCCCCCGGGCCGGCACAGGCAGCCATCCCTGTCCCCACAGCACCATACCACAGGTAACGGGCCTGATCCCATGCCCGTCCTCACCCCTCTTTCCCCTTCACAGCGGCACACAGAGGGGTGGGATAGCTCATCCTAGGCTCCCCCCCCGCAACCCTCTTGTCACTTCATCTTCTGTTTCCTCCTCCTCCTCCTCTTCCATCTGTGCAGGGGTTTGCATCTCCCCTCTTCCTCCCCCCCATCTGTACACCCTTCCCTTTCTCCCGGCGCATCAATAGCGAGCTGTCTTTCTCCTCTCTTCCCCAGGGTAATGAGTACTCCCTCCCAGCTCTGACCCCTGGTCTCGATGAAGTCAAATCAAGTCTATCCACCTCTGCTAACCCAGACCTGGGGACAAATGTGTCAGGACCCCAGACGTACCCTGTGGTGACCGGTAAGCTGCCTGACCAAACAGCAGAACCAAGCTTTTTATTTATTTCCCTCATCACCATTAGCTTCTGCTTTTTCTGCTAATGCGAGATATCCCTCTGTGGCAAACATGGAGAGAGACAGAAAGACTGTGGAGGATGTAAGGGCTCAAGAGAAGCTTGATATTGAGTATTGGTGGGTTTGGGTACACCTAGAGGTGCCCAGGTGTAACTCAAAGACAGGCAAAGCCAGGTGTGAATAGGGAACTTGTGTGCCCAGATGGGGCTCAGGATGGATGTCAGGGAGGACAGGTATGTCCAAATACGGACTGGGATTTTTTTCCTTTGTGTCTGAGAACAAGAGGGTCGTGGCTTACCCATGAGCCGCACTTAGTTATCTTGGGGAGAAATAAATAAGTTTTATTCAGCCCTGGCATTTGAAAGGGGCATTTGCAAACTAAATACTGAGGTCTGTTGAACTGTGACTGCTAAACTCCCTCTTCCTTAATCCCATGAGTCTCTAACAGCAGCTGGCAAAAGAAATTTGTTCACAGCCTTCCCCCTTCCCTCCCATGCGGGCACATTAAACTCAGGTGTGACTGGGAGAGCAGGAAACGAGAGCAAGCATGAGACAATAGAGGAATCGGGATATACAGAAGCAGGAGGCAACTTCTGCAGCAGCTGCTCCACAGAAGCTTTGTCTTTGCTGGTGGCACATGCAGGACGTGGGCGGCACGGGGCTGTCGTGGGGCCGTGGGGCACGCCATCCTGACACGAGTGTTAGACTGCCTGCCCTGTGCATGTCTAGAGCCATAAGGAGGTATTCTGGTGCCACGGCCCTTCTTCTCAGGCTTTAGTTGCCACTGCTTACCCAGCTACCCTAGATTTGCACATCTCCTCCTGGGTAGCCAGAGCAGCTGGTAAGGCCTGAGTGACTTGCCCTGGTTTTGTAAATCCCCCTTGCCCTGTAACTGCTGTGGCCCCTCTAGAAACCTCATGGTGTAAGTTGAGAAATAGCTCATGACAAAGAGGTCTAAATCCTGTTAGCAAGGGAAGGAGCTCTGCCTCTTGGCCAAAAGGCTGTCCTCTGATGGTGCGGAATCAAGAGCACTGGAGTTTTTATCTCAACTTCTTCTTGCAGAAACCCCAGCAAATAGCCCCTGAGGTCTCATGCAGCTCATGGCTGAGGCAGGCAGTCGTTGCTTGTTCAGCAAACACTGAGCAAAAGCACATTATTACATGCAACTTTTGGCTACCAGGACTTTGGGACCAGGCAGGATTAGTAACAGTTTCCCCAAATATAGAGGAGATCCAGTGTGAGGTCTGCAAAATGTCATGGAGAACCATGGGGAGGTGAACTGCATATTTGGAGTGTCTAGAAAGTGTGACATCCCCAGACTTTTTTCATGGCTTTTACTGCTATCAGGCTTGATCCAGGATCCTTGTCGCCATGCAGTTTCTTAGCCAACCAGAAAAAAAAAGGCTCAGCTGTGGCAAACTTGTTCCACCTTTCTTGTATTTGCATATGCAAGACAAAACTCAGCTGGTGTCCATCTAACATTTAGCAGATCTACATCTCTTACAGGAAATACTTGCCTGTCTTTGGGGGGCAAAGCCAGTAGGAGAGTAGTACTGTCCTTCCTTCATGGAAGGCAGATCTCCATAGTTGGATGTAAAGGCGAGGCGCCTAAAATCAGAGTTTAAGAGTCAAAGGAGCCATTAAAATAATTCCTTTTAGTCCTTCTGTCTAAGTGAAGATTGTGAATACCAGCCCAACACAAGAGCAGAATTTCCAAAGGCTGGGGACCCTGCACAAGCTTTGGACATGACTCTCACAAGGGGACAGCAGGAGACAGATTTGGCCTCACAGAAGAGGCTGCGGGCTGAGGCAGAAAATCTTCATGTCCCCCCAACCCTGTGCCATCCCCACTCTGTTCCCTGCAACACTCCCAGCTCAGCTCAAGAACATCCCCATCTGATCCATCTGGATCCAAGAGTGAGAAAAGTTCATTTCAGACCCAGCTTGACATTCCCAGGTGGCAACTTAGCACTAACATCTCAATCTGTATGCGACATTTCAATCAGCACAGAGTAACAAAAGCAGAACTATTAGCGTTGGGAGCTGTTCACTGCTGGTAATGATGGGGAAACTCAGAAACTGGAAATGAAAAGGGAAAAAAACCCCTCAACACCCTGAAAGGCAGCAGGGGAAGAGGGGTGGAGAATTTTTCCTCCACACTTAGGCCAGGATCCAATGTTTGGATTAATGGTGCCATTACCCAAGAAAGGACTTCAGATAATGCTCATTCTTAAAATGTTTTTGCTGGCAATTAAATGGTTGCAGTTATTGATCTTCATTGATCTGATGTCCTCAATTTGCATAATCTATTAAAGATGAATGATTCATTATATGTTTGTTATGGGGCTGGGCAATGCTTTCAGGAAGGACCAGAGATGTGAGGAATGCAGTGCTGCCTCCTGATCTACCCCAGCCAGGAAATTAAGGGAGAGCCTAGGAACACGCAGATTTCTTTGGTATCACCCAGATCCCTTTCCCAAGGGATACTGGAGTAACAGCGAGTACTGAATTGCTGGCTGCCTGCTTTGCTGCTATAGTGTCAACTTTGAAATGTCCCTTTGCTCTTGTCCCAGGGCAGTCTGTGAACCCAGGTGATATCTGAAGCAAATGTGGAACAAGTCCACCCATGCAGGGTACAAACTCTGTGTGCAGTCATGTCAGGATGTAAGGTTTAGCTTCAGTCTATGAGAAAGTCTCTCCAGCTCAGTTTTCCCAGACAGAAAAAAGTACCACTAGCTCTTTCCAAACCAAAGCTGTCTGGCATTGGATTCTTGCCTGTTCTGTTGACTTCAGAGAAAGTCCTTCTCTCCCTGGCTCATGACTAGCTTTCCCCAGCAAGTTCTCTCAGCTCATGCTGTTCTGAGAACACACCCCTCCAAAAGCCATCAGAACCTCAACAGCATGTAACTACCTAAAATCTTGGAATGGAGTGAGATAGTTAAGTACAGATGTTGCTGAAGTCCCTTTATCTGTCTGTAAGCTTCCTAGAATTGAAGAGCTAGAAATGCTGCAAAATGGGCAGCCTCATCCCCAGCATGCATGAAGGCTTCCCCAAAGCCCTGGGCATCTATTCAAAGACATGGCTTAGCACCACAGTTACATACAGCACAGCCTTGCCTAGTACTGCCAATATCAAGCACTGCCTTTAAGACAATTGTTCTAACGTGTCTTAGATGGTCCATTTATTACTCACATCTCCTACAGCAAGTAAGCAAAAACATTTGTTTACTATGGAGCAGACAGGTCACCCTTATTTCTCCTCATTAAGTATCTGCAGGGAATTGCTACGAATGAGCTGACACTTAGAGGCTAGATGGGCACCAGGCTAGGAAACATGCTCCCCCATCCTTCATATAGAACAGACAGTGTGGAAATTTTCAACTTCTTTATGAAGAGAGAGAAAGCTCTTAAAAGCTGCCACCTCACCTCTTCCATCACACATAGGCCAGTGGGCCAGCTACATCTTGCCTCGATGTTGCATGGCCATCATAGCTAGATTGGCAGAGATAGTATCTTGGATAGTGTCTTTGGACAGAAACCAGATTTCCTAGAAGCAAAGATCCAGGCTTGAGCATAACAAGATAAGGCGAGTACACACAGTTGAATACCAAGACAAGAATTCTGTTGTTCAGAGATGTTCTACTTCAGTTATTTCTATTGAAGGCAAACAGCCCAGGCAGGTGAGTATAAACCTGTACAGGGCTAAGTAAACACAGAAAACCTCAATAGTTCTCTTTTATTCAATAGGTTTCCACAGGTCTTTGATTTTGGAAGGTACTCAGTAGCTAACACCTGAGAGGTGAGTGGAGGAGAACCTCAAGGTTTTGGCACTAGCAACAGGAGTACTTTAAAAGCATGAGGTTGATCACAGAAGCCTTGAATCCTTTGAGAAGAAAGGTTAAGATCCTTATTTAAGTGCCATCAGAAGTCACATCTTTTGGAATAGGCATGCATGAAAGTGCTGCCTCTTCAAAACAGGTTCTGAGTTCTGGGGACTTAGCTTAATAGTTTGGGAGCAGAGACCTTTCCAACTCAATTATCTAGCCCAGAAGGTACCCAAAAAAGAAGCAGCACTATGGGAAATAAAACACAATGGACTTCCCATGTATGGCTTGAAACTTGTTTATTAACAGACTACTAAAGGGGAGGATTTACCTACTAATGGATCGTAAAATTACAGCAAAGGTAAAGAAAAACTTCCCTTAATTGAATCCCAGCAGTTTTAACTAAATAGACCTTGTTTGTCAGTCCACTACAATCAGTGAGATCTACAAAGAAAAGGTAAAAGACAAGTCCAAGAAAAAAGGGTCGAAACCCCCCACTTCAGCGACTTCTACCATTGCCTGAAACAGGAGCGTGTGTCCCCTTCTCCTCCTGTGAGCTGGTTTCTGAGTGCTTCTGTGCTACGCTTAGCGCCTATTAACAGGAATAGGTAACTTGTAAAATCCATCATCACCCACCAAACCAGCTACCAGGTTCTGTATAGAAAATGTTTCTTTCTATCTGGGAAAGAAATTTTTCCCTAAAGTGACAAATACCATCCAGGGTGAGAAATCGTGATGGCAACTCACAGTGTCAAAGGCACCAAAAAAGCACAAACCCCATCGATCTCGCTTTACTCCAGACCTCCCTGGCATGGGGTCAGATTTTTTTTTTCAGTTTAAGTTAACTTTTTAAATTCATATGAATGTATGCAAAAAAATTTTATAATTACTGACATTAAGGCAACTTGCTATGTCTGGAAGACATACAAAAATAGTACTTAAACAGCATCTGATTTCTATGAGGGTTTTCAAGAGAGCTGTCATGCTAAGCATGGACAAATCACTGGCTAGACACCGGGATCCAAAGTTTTTGTGAAATGATAAACAATCTTTTGAGAACTTTAGCCTCCTGCAAGGTGAAAAGATATTATTTCCTTCATTTCTGTTTAGTGAGTGAACTGAA